TGCATAACTCATCAACGACTTGTGCCAGGAGCACCTCCACTTGAAGTCTCCCCCTCTTAGATTTTTCTGCACTCCAGGTTCCACAGAGGCAAACCACCACTCGCTCATATTTGTCTTTGGTGTTGGATTTGTTTGGTTTATACCAGCTTTCCACACTTTGACTCACATCTGGAGCCCACCACAAGGGGTGGTTATTCCTGGATCAAGAAACCCTGTTCACTCATCCCATTGAAACTTGCTTCTAAAAACCCACTTCTAAAACCCACTTGATATCTCATTACTATGTCATCCACCATTCCCACTATCTATCCTCCTACATCATCAGAGGTTCCAGTAGCTATGGCTGCTCCCCCTGCTCACTCTGTTCTCACTATGCCCTTGCTTGGCATGAAGTCTGCCCCTGAATTATTCCAAGGAGACCATACCCATGTTCACTCCTTCTTGGACCACTATGAACATCTCTGTGCCTACCACAATGTCACTTCTGACCAGGAAATGGTCAAGTCGATCCTCCAGTACTGCAATGCTTGTGTTAGGGAGGTTATCGAAGGAATGGCTCACTACTACACTCCTGATTGGGCTAACTTGAAGGCTGATCTCCTCAAGTACTTTGATGCTGATCTATCAGATGAAAGGTTCTTTGAAAGGCATCTCAAGAGCTTTACTTTGGAGTCTAGGATGCAGCCCATTATGACTCTTCAAGACTTTAGGGCTTACAACCGTGGCTTCATTCGCATTGGAGGTTGGTTGAAGAATAAAGGAAGGATATCAGTTGATGAATATAATCGCTATTTCTGGGCTGGTTTGTCCCCAGTCTTTTGTGGCTTGGTTGAAACTCATCTCAGGACAAAAGATCCCAACCTTGACATCAGCAGGCCATTCCCCTATGATGATGTATGCTAGTCTGCTGAAGAGGTCCTTTGCTGTGATCACTTTGATGCAGATGACCTTGACTTCCTTGGCCCTCATGCTGCCCCTGCTCCTCAGGCCCAGCCTAATGCTTCTCATCACTCAGATGGAAGAGATGACAGTGTTCACCCTCTGCTCCCTTCCCATGAAGCCAGAAGAAACCTTGAAAATTTGGAGAAAGAAGGCCCTACTGCTCACAAGCAGGATGAGGTTGAGACCCTAATCAAGTCTCTCTCTCACATGTCACTCAATGACCCAGACTACTCCCTCCTCTACTATTGTGCTATCAAGATGGATCCTGATGCTGCAAAGGTGCTTCATGCCCCTTCCCTTTGTCCTGCTCCTGCATCTGCTCCTGCATCCACTGCCCCTGCTGCCACTTCCTCATCCCAGACCTGTCCTGCTAGAAGGACCATTACTTGTTATGGCTGTGGTGTTGAAGGCCATGGTGTTGAGAGTTGTCAGGCTATTAATGATCTCATTCAGAAGGGTTCCTTGGCACATGATGAAAACCATTGAGTCATCTACCCTAATGGACAGCGCATTTATTGCAATGGAGAAGAGACTATCCTGCAAGCCTATGAGTGCACTAAAGCTGCTGCTCAGCCTGCTAATGCAGTTTGCTTTGTTATCCATGAAGAGGCCAAAGAAGAGTCTAGTGCTGAGATCTATGAGTTGGAAGAAGAACCCCTTGTTGCTGCTGTAGATCGCTCTAACAAGGTTACTAAAGAGAAGAGAAAGGCTGTCTTTGACAGTGTCCTTGTCCCACCTCATTCGCATGGCAAGGAGAAAGAGACTCAAGAACCAAAGCCCTCATCCTCTGCATCTATCCCTGCTCCACAGAAAGTGCCACTCACTCCTGCCTTCATGCCAGTTGATGTTCATCCCCCTGACTTTGATGGAACTAGAGATGACACTACCATGGAAGATGCCTCTGTCCCAAAGCCATCTGGACATGCCACTGATTCTGCAGACAGGTCTAAGAAGTCCAAGCCCACTCCTACCACTTCCCTGTCTTCATCACTTTCACAGTCTGCCAATTCCAAAGCCATTGTAGAGTGCATTCTTTCTACTCCCTTGACTGTATCTGTTGGGGAGGTCATTGGATCATCTAGGGATGTTTCTCAGCACCTTCAGGAGCTTATGTGATTCAAGAGACAGCCCCTGGCTCATCCTGTCAAATCTGTTACCACTGTTGAAGGAACTCCTCCTGTAGCCTCCTACTTGGCCTTGACTTCTAGCACCCTCATCACTATCAATCTGACTTGCAATGGTCGATGTGTAACAGGTGTCATCGACTCTGGGTCTACTCTCAATGTTGTTCATGCTGGTATAGCCCAGTCAGTCATTTGCATGCCCATTGACATGTCACAGACTATCAATATGTGAGATGCAAAAGGAGGTGTCTCAACACTGAAAGGCCTGGTACAAGATGTCCCTCTCTTCTGTGGTGCTGCCAAGACTTGGACCAATCTGTTTGTTGCTCCAGACACTAATGCAGGCTTTGATCTCCTCCTTGGTCGTCCTTGGGCTCTTGGGAACTCAGTTAGCATTGTTGAAAGAGAGTCTGGAACTTATGTTGTCTTCAGAGCTGATTCAGATCGCCCCCTGGAGATGTGTGTTACTGAAGGCCAGCTTGGGTCTGTTGCAGATACACTTATGGCGACTCTAGAGCCTGTCCATCCTCAGCAAGAAGCCAATGAACCTATGAGAGATGTAGCAGTTGGTACCCCTCATCATGTTTCACCTACAGTCTTTGCTCCACCCCCATCAACTTCACAGTCACCCCCTCAGTCACTCGATTCTACTCTGCTATATCCTGAATCACCCCCAGATGGGTTTGGTGTTGCCTCAGCTTTTCCTGCATTCCATCCCATTCCCATCCAAGCATTCCCACCTCCTACCAGTCCCTTTCCTTCAGAGTTTGTCAGTCAGCTTACCCAGGAGTTACAGTCCACTGATGTGAGTGGATTGGAGGATAATCCTACCCTTGCCCAGATTCGTCACTGGATCAGAAGAGAAGAGCACCAGTCACTTGTCTCACTTCTTACTAGCCTTGCTAATCACACTCCCCATCTATCCTCCCTTTATCTCGACTCAAGCCATGCACTTGCTGGAGAAAGAGATACTGATGAATCAGGAGTCTACTTCCAAGACTTCCTTATGCTTGATACTTGCTTGGTCTGACAGGTTCCTGCCCCACTTGAGCATTACCATGAGCTTGAAGGTTCTGCCTATGTCATATTCTATCCTTGTCTACTCCCACAGGCATCTCCCACTCAGAGCAATGCATCTCCACCTCCAGACCTGCCATCTGGCTCAGGTCTGCCTGCTTCACATGTACTTTCTAATGGTATTACTGCTCCTCCTCAGACTCCCTCTCCCCCATCCCCAGATCCAGTTATCATTCAGGAAGAGCCCACTGATGGTTCCCACCAGGCTTCACTGCTGTTCTGTAGAGACACTGTCACTCCAGACTCTGAAGCTACGTTCTCCATCTTCAACACTTCCTACTGTGGTTCAGTTGCCCCTACTGCCTATGATGCTAGCCATGACTCTCAGTCCATGCAACTTGATGATGAGTTGTGCAGGGATCCATATGCACCCAGTCTGTCCACCTGTCATCAATCTGCACAACTCAACAATGACTTGTGCAGCCATGTGCAGCTGCCTGGTTCATCCTTGGATATAGGTCATGACTCTCAGTCCACATAACTCATTGACGAGTTGTGCATGTCCCACCACTTGTCCAGTCTGTCCCCAGATATACCCACCACACTTTCACCACTTGACTCTGATATGTTCAACACTAGTGTTGGCTCTCACTTCTATCTGCCTAGCCCATCCTTGCCTCAGTCTGCACAACTCGGTGACCACTTATGCAGGCATCAGCATTCATCTAGTCCAGCTCTTCCCATGCCATTACTACCTTCAGCTCCCCAAGCCATGTCTAATGCTGCTGTTGGTGAAGAGTCAGTTGCCATGCCAGAGCCTTACAGCAATGTTCACCCCAGGCATAATTCGGTAGCAGGTTGATCTGAATCCCACCCATCATGCATACTAAGTTTATAATTTCATGAGTACATTGTGTAGTGCTGCAAGTCTACTGAAATCCAAGGTATCAGTAAGGTGTCCATGATGTACAAGCTTGACTGTTATTAGAAATCTAGTATACATCACTGATAGTCCATGTCCCAACTAGAATCTTAAATTCCACACATGTACAAACACTGCTGCTAGTCAACTGAGAACCTAAATTTCATGTGTGAATTGTATGCAGCAGGACAGTGATGAAAAATAATGTCAAATGTGGAGAGCAGTACATTCAGTGCCTGCATGATATACTTAAAATCAGGTGAGTTGATATGCTATGGGAAAACTTAATGTTGGACATGCTGCAGCTGAGCTGCTACACTGACAGAAATTTCAATATCAGTCAAGGAGTAAACATGTCATGACTTAGGGTGTTGTGAAGGTCACAGTCTCAGTGGCATTTCATCCTTTGTTTTGGATGTTGGCTGCATGTCAATGAGTGCCTGACATTTTATGTTTCAGTTGTGAGCCAGCACAGCTCCCAGCCTTAATGAAACTTAAAACATCAGTAGAGTCATTGACACACACTGGCCGCTGGAGCTGGAGCCAGCCTGCTGCGCTGCACTGCATGGCATTACTGGAGGTACACAAGCACCAGAGTGCTGGCAATTCATTACTCTGTGGCTCACAAACATTTTATAATATATTTTACAATATCAAGTCAAGAGCAGTCTTCTTTCATCGACAGCCATATCCACAGATGGGGACGGTGGGGAACACAGGCTGGCGATCTACACAGCGAGAAGTCGTGGTGAATGTTTGGCATGATATATCGATAAGTGAGAAAGCGCAGATTTGCCATCAATTGGCAGTGTACAATACCAAAGTCCTACGGGTGCCCCTGGACGCACCCTCTGTAATATCATCGCTTGCTCACACCTTTATCTAAGGACAATACAGGTGGTCAGTTTTGTGAGCGTGCATCGATTTTTGACTTACCATGAAGGGGTCGAATTCCAGTGTAACAGGAAGGCAAAGGGCCCCAATGATGAAAGTACTTCCTACCTACGCACTTGTAAGTGGATCATTGGGCAGCATTCCAGTTCCCACCCCACCATCTCTTTATCCACTTGCTGCCCCACTCCTTGTTTTGCCGTCGAGTAACCCCTACATCTTTGAATTCCTCCGTGTTTGCAAAGGTTGCCATTCCCCTCCATGCATCCATTGCAGCATCTTGGGCTGTCTTGACTGGAGGAGTTCCATCTCGGGTGGAAGGATTGGATGAAGTGCTGAGTAGACTGGCTCATGAAGCCCGCAGAACTGAGAGGGACCACCAGTAGTATATATGTTCTGCATTGACATTGTGGTCAGCGACAAGTAAAACAGCCCCAAGAAATAACTGCGAAGGAGACGGCCTTACTTTTACTAACCATGCCTTTTCTGTGTCTGTGAACGTCATGGGGACAGTCTGCAAAACCTCACCAATTCTATCAGCATTGGCTCCTGCCACCGATGGAGCAAAGTACAATTTGCAGACACACCACTGTTTGGTGTTGAAATGGATTCTTGCAGCAAAAGGTCGGGTCATGTGCAAGGAGCTTCGATTCAACAAGTGGCAGTTGTTGGATATCATCTTCTTCATCAGAGGATGGTGCAACTGTATTCTGGTTATGTAGTTGGGTAATAAACGTATGGGAGTAAAGATATCTGGGACGTACAATTTTATGATATATTGCCCAATCTTTGTTGTCAGCACCAAACATGTCCTCTTTCCATGCCCTGTCAGTCTTTGCAGGCGAACTCTGCTTGCCCAGATGGAGACTCACCTGTACCTGCCTTCCTGTTCATCTTTGATACTCGATTGTCTGCGGGAAGGGAAGCGATGTTCTTCATCCGTGCCTGTGCAACAACACTGTTCCTATCTGAAGGGGCAGCTTTGTGACATTCATGCTCCTTAATCCTGCTCATGATCGCCTAAGTGTAGTGTCACCAACAAGCAGTTAATGCAAAGAATCAAATATATATACCTCTTGTTCCTCACGCAGCCTTCCAGCCCAACCATCAAATCATTTTCTCATTCTTCCTCGTCACGACGTTCCTCCACTTCCCACTCTTCTCTTTCCTTTTCTTTCCCTGCACACTGAGCATGCACTTCAAACCCAGTCTTGAGCAGTTCGTTGGTACCTGTAGTAGAATGACATGAGTGCATCGATGCAAAATGCCAGTAATGGGACAGAGTATTGTTGAGCTCGGATGTGACTGCCAGTGTGCTTGAGTCAACCAAAAAAAAGAATGAAAAGTGATGAGCGAAAGCACCTACAGGCTCGAGTGTAATGGAGATGCAAGTTGCTCTGTCATTAACATGGGGTGGTCAACAGTGTCTGTGTCGATCCCCAATGTGATGAATGTGCAATCAAAGGCATGTTCCTGTTCACATTAAGCATACCATAGATATACCAGTACAGAGGACATAGAGAAAACCCAAAATGTAATTGGGATGTGCCGTTATCGATGAGTGGGGTGTCCTGCCCACGGCATACATTGTACAAGTCGAGTAGCATGGCAGACGGAAGGGTTGGTGTTGGGACCTGAAAGACCTCAATGGACCCTTGTTCTGACATCCTCTGCAGGGTGCTGCCTGTCCGGACTTGCTTTGCTGTTCACTTTCATTGACCAAATGACATCTAACAACTCTATCCGAATTGATACTACATGCATACCCAAAATGGAAAGCCCAGCATTTCTGGCAGAAACTTGGGGGACAAACAGTTTGGACCAGGATGTGTCCAGGAATTCATAACATAGTATTACACCAATCAATCTTTGTAAATTTCTATCTATCATGCAACATCCAAAAAAGCCTTAGAGTAGCAGAGCCCTCTACAGTATTCAGTCCTTGTCTAAGCTTAATTGAGTAGTAAAGTCTTCAACCCCACTCTCAGTGTCACCATCATTATCTTCTGGTTCGATGGAAGTGTCATCACAGTTCTCATTGTCTGTCTGCATCACCAGCAGGGTAGCACCAGCATGTGGTGGGACAATGACCTCTGGGACTTGATCAGTAAATGCTGACATGTCAGCTGAGGACGACCTGACCTGTTTTTCCACTCTCGAAATTATACCACTTATCCACCCAGGCATTCAGTTTCTTTCTCTCATTAGGCAGTAAGGACATCAGCCAACTTCCCTTGTAGCAGTTGAGTGGCAGTCCTGGGGGTGCCACTGCATCCTCATTGACGAGGTTACTGGGTACTTGGTGCCTGGGTTCTTGACTGTGAACAGATATGTGTTCAACTCTTGGCTGGCAATTAGAAACCATCATGGAATCTATGGTGCACATAAGATCGGCCAGTTCTTCGCTGTGCCAAGCAGGAGGGATTATCAGATAAACTTTGCGCCCATTTGAGTCTGTGTCCGACTCATCCAAGCTGATGCCTTGAGAGCCTATTAACTGTATCAGGTCATTATGAATGATAAGTTCATCATTGTTTGCGACACAATCTGCCCTGCTTGTATAAAGCTTGGGGCACGTAAGATAAGGGAGGGCGTGTAGGTACAGTCAATGACGTACCCTTGTTTTGCATGTACTACGAGCGGCGCTCCTCAGCCTGGTGTGACACATCTCCTCTGACTTTTTCAAGTTGGTGTACACATCCTTGACATAATGCAGGTGAAAGTAGAGGGACAGCTCAATGTATTCCAACTGCAGGAAGTGAGCAGGTGGAGGTGTTGGAAAAGAATACCATTTGCTCTCCTCTACCTTCCTCTTGAAGTCCTTGGCAAATACATGAATAGCCTCCATGTTGAAAGGCATTCGATGGGAGTGCGATAGATCGATGCGGAAGTCATTGGGAGTTATCTTGATGCAACCCGGGTCATGCCTGTTGAATGCAAGATTTTCATCATCAGTGGCAATTGGTCTAGACAGCTATAATCGCTAATATGCAGTAATCGCAAGAAGTGTTTCTGTATCAATTGCTGATGGAATGTGAGCCACTCAGAATTGTAGTGAGTAAAGGCATACCCAGAATTTTGTATGACCGGGTTTTCCACAATATCTGTCTTCCAAGGGGGGCTGCTTGCATCTTCGAGTGGGCTTGGACCCTGCAGACTTGTTTCATCCCTGTAAGCTTGCCTGAGCACCCCCAGATTCCGATCTGCTGTTAAGAGCTTGGTGATTCAGCTGCATCAATCCATCAAATTCCATGCACATTTGCTTCATGTCCTGTCAGTGTGCCTCTGAACTTGCATTCACAGCTGCAATCAGCTCCAACATCCTTGCAGCCATCAGTGAAAAAATCGGGCCCATGCCAGAGCCTGCCATCGGAATCTAGATCAATGCATAGTAGGTATAGACACAGATTGAGAGAAGAAAGCCGAAGCTTACCTCCTGTGCATTGTGCATTGTCTCCTTCTCATGTCCTACGTTGACTTGTTGCGGCTGGTTCATTTCATGGGCAGTGGCAGCTGGCGGGTTTAAAGCACCCTCAAATGTGGGAACTGTTGATTGAAATCGAGGTGCCAGAGGGAAGGTATTCTGCACCATAATTGGTTGTTGAATGACACCTACAGAGCCACGAGCCAGAGGTTGGCCCGAAGTAGAAGCCATCTGCTGGGGTTGGACAGGGTGCGCAGAGTCAACAGTGGGACGATGGGAACTGCCAGTGCTCCTGTCTGTGGAAAAAAGGTGCTGAGAGTAGGGGGCAGATGGGACGATGTGTTGCCCCCTGGTATCATGTCGCTGAAATGACCCCACGGGGTCCCAAGGCATATGATGGTTCGACCCAAGTAGCGTGAGATCAGTCATTTGACTGGTCTTTCGATTCTGCTCCATCCAGGCATCGACCATGGTGCTGATGGAGGCCAGAGGAGGGCATGCAAGGTTGCTAGGGGCCATGGTTGTTACAGGGTCAACCTGCGAGTGTGGGAAGGTAGAGGAAACCATCGTGACATGGTGTTTGCATGGAGTCAAGTTGTTTGGTGGCAACTGATGAGGATAACAGTTCATTGGCATTGGCAGATGCACATTTCCTATAAGGGGTCTCAGCGTTGAGGGTTGGCCTTGCGAATATTTCGTGACGTCAGGATATACATTTGATGAACAGGGAAAACTTGCCCCCTCCATGTTACCCACAGGGAACTGCAAAAGACTATCAGTATGCGTCAATGGGCATGGCCACAGCTCTTACCAAGTTGTGGGAACCACATTGTAAATGCCCATTTGACTGAACAAGGGACAGAACACGAGAGAAACCAGTAAGGTCCAGCCACCCATGGCCCTTGGTATCTACTGCATTCCTGAATGACACCAGTCATGTCAGCATCTCTTAGTATTCTCATAGTAAAAGGGAGATATCTTGTACCAGACCTCCTGAGATGCTGACGGTGAAATCTGTAAACCACTCAATGCTGCAAGGACATGCTGATAAGCAACAAGTCCCTTGTGTCCACCCATGGCCTCGAGATGGTGAAACCAATTTTGTACATCATCTGAAATAGCATTGAAATGTACACTTTGTACGGCCTAATTATGAAGTTCATTAGCTGGTAGGTGATGGTGGAGCATTCCTGCTCACCTGCTGTGCAGATGCACAATACAGGGCACAGGCTGCCTCAGAAGACATCTCGATATCACCATAGGCCTGATGGGGGTTACAGTCATTCAAGAGAGATACTTGCCCAGCCTAGCAAGGAAGTCCATTAGTAACTGTGCAGGAGCAGATTCACCATTCATTCACCTGCTGTGCAGACCACTGATACAAGATGAGAGGCACCTCAGTGGCCATCTGAACATCACCGTAGTCGGGGTGTATTGTCAAGTCTGAATCATGGTCATTTGACACTTGCAAGGTCTGGTGAGAAAGTTCATTAGCGGACCAATGGGGGAAAGCAGTTTTCTTTCACCTGCTCTACAGATGTCTGATGCATGGCATGAGGCATTTCAGTAGACATCTGAACATCACCATAGTTAGACAGCTCTGTCACGATATGTTGAGGAGGGATAGTACAGCCATTCAAGGCAGATACTTGCAAAGCCTAACGATGAAGTTCATCAGCAGCCAAGGGGGGGCAGAGTTGTTGTCACTCACCTGTTGTGCAGATGTCTGAAAAGCAGATATCTGATCATCGCTGCGATTCAACTGCTCTGTCGGGTCCGCAGTGATATGCTGACGAGGATTATTATCATTCGAGACCAAAGCCTAACAACAAAGTTCATTAGTGGCTGAGTGCAGGAAGAGTTAATTTTGTTCACCTTTCATGCAGATATTTGAACATCACTGTCATTAGACTGCTCTACTGGAGTTGCTGGCACTCCATTAAAGCATGTATCGCTGTTGGCAGTTGAACAAACCTGAACATAAAATCAGAAGAGTGCTTGCCTTGAGTGATGAAAACTTTACCTGAGGTGACATGGTGTTGTCAGAATCCAAAAGACTGTGAATGGTGCAGGTAGCCATGTGAACCATTCCCATGACTGACATAGGCAGAATTGATCCAGAATTGCTTGCCAAGGAATAGTGATTCATGATGCCAAATCGATCTGAGTCCTGGTCATGCTCAGCTAGCCTAGTGGAATGCTGTCTCTCCGCCAGTTCTCGGAGGTGACTTTTACAAGGCGGGGGAGCAGGTACCTGCAGATGTTGACATGCAAAAATTCATATGGCAAATAAAATGCACCACACATACCACTTCCAAGCCAGCATCCTTATTGGCCTTCAGGGACTTAGGAAGGTGATACCCACTTGTCCATTGCTTTCGGGGGCCACGCTTTGTCCTTACAGGCACCGGTTCCTCGACTACTTCACATTCAGATCCAGGTGATACCTGTTGCTGATGCCCCCCTGCTGATTCTGGGACTCTCTGCACCGATCCAGCCAATGAGGATTTGTGCCCATCTGGAGGCTCTTCAGTGCCTGGTGTCTGGCCCCACACAGAGTGAGTAAATGTTTGTGGTAGCGCGATTGAAAATGTACCATGCCCACATATTTGTGTGGTTCTTGTTCCATGGAAGTAGCATGGAACAGAGCTGCTCAGTGAGCAGAATAAATACCCAAATTCACATCCTGGGTCCAGTGCTCTCAACAGCCTCATGCCCTAAGAAACAAAGGCGATTCAAATGATCTAAACATAAAGACCAGACCATTAAAGACCATACAACCATGGTAAAACAATCTTTGTTCAACGGTCAGCTTGAGGGTGATCTTGGATGTCCAGGACAAATTGGTAAGAATGGTGGGTATGATGACTATGGATGCCCAATGTGTGCCACTCTTGCACCACTCCGGGGGCAGGATGAGAGGGATGGTGTTTATGTAAGAGCCAACGAAAACAGATGTTACAAGGTCACAAGTCTACCATAGTCGGGAGAACGATTTTCTTGCCTTTGGTCTGCCTATGGGAGACTATGAATCTACACCATTATATATTGAAAAATAATGGTTTAGTTCTCGCTCTAATATAAAATGGGGTCTGACAGTAATGAATTGATTTCTCACACTACAAAGTAACCTACATATATGTATGAACAGACTTGATGCAATCAGTCATCATAATGAAGTATGTACATCGTGCTGCTAATGAGCAGGAAACGCTATACTTTCTAGTTGCAGGGTAACTTTAAAGCAGGTGTGATCAGCTTGCAAAAAACTTATGATGTAGGATCATAAATGGGACCTCGTGATAGAGCGTTCATACAATGGACAGCATAGATATATCCCCTGCTGCATCACCATTCTCCCCTTCTGCAGCTGCTACCGTTGACATAGCAGGTTCAGAAGTGGAATTCCTCATCTCAGGGTACTTTTTCCACAAATAATGCAGCGATGTGTCGCATGACCTTCCCGATTTTGGAAAACTGCGAGCATGTTCGGGGAGGTAGAGGTCAGGCGCATAACACCATCAACTCCAGAAATGGGAGACGCATGGAGAGGTAGTCAATGAGGTTTGGATGTTCGTAGTTGTGAAAAGTTGATTAAGGCCTGGAAAATGAGTAACATTGAAGGAGTTATTACTTACCAACAGTGCCAGCAACCTAAACTACCTTCTGACCCAACTATAGTTCCTCCCACCACCAAGCTCAGATGCAATAGTGGGCAAAGCAGTAGTGATGACTGTCTAGGGAATGTGGGCGTGACAGACACTTCAGAACGATAAGTAGTGTACCTCATCTGATTACGGATGCCCAATGCATGCAACTCTTGAGTGACTCTGGTTGGAAAGCGGGGGCGTTCAGAAGAGGGTGGGAAGGTGGAGAGTGGGCCAACTCATGGAAATCGAAGCAATTTGCCTTATGGTGCCCATATTCAATCCTTGAGTCCCAGCAAAGAAACTTATGGATTGATCCAAAAACACCTGAGGAGATGTCAATAGAAATGGTCAGAGAGTAACGGTTTATTACTTACCTCCAACTACGAGTGCCCAACTGCATGCGACTCTTGGGCGACTCTGGTGGCAGGATGGGAGGGATGGTATTCTTTATGTAATCCACTGGAAGGGCTGATTTCCCATCGATTTGCAGAAGGGGAAAGAAGAACTGGGCTGCTGGGCTGCTGCTTGACCAGGACTGCTCCACATCCTGGAACAATACTCGACTGTGAACAATCATTCCACATAACTGTAACCACTGCTGGCACTCCCAGCAGTGGACACCAGGATCCATACTCATTCCTTTGTTTTTGTAAGTGAAAGATGTACTGTGTGTCAACTTTCAAGGATCGGGTCAGTGCCAGGGCTGATCACGCAAACCTGACGAGACTGACATCGATGTTTGCTGTTATACAAGTGTAGCGCTAGCACAGGAGCCATGAAGTACTAACAGACAGTCATTCTGGGTAATATGAGTAAATCTTGAACGAATTTATGTAACCACCACACAACCGATGGGTGCAATGCGACAACACAAGCAAGTGAAGGGTGGTAAGAAATAATGCGAGACAAAGCAAAGAGTACAACACGAGAGTAATGGTGACAACCCGCAATAACGATGTATGAGACTGGTGTGACATTTGAATTTGGAGAATAACCATGACATCCTGTTGTGAGAACGTATGCCGAAGCCATAAGGGATGCATATGACAGATCAAATATGCATATCATGCAGTGCTCACCATTTATTCTATGTCTTCTTCATAAAAGACATCTGCCCAGATGTTGCCATGCTGGAGAAGTGGGCCTGAATCGACTTGGCCTACTGGGAGCTCCAAACACAGCATTGACCACACTGATCATATGCTTTGCAACTGGCTACCTTGATAGGCTTGCGATCCACAAAAGTCTGGCAAGTTACGACAGGACAGGTATACCAAGGGATATAAATGTGCTTGTTTTCATGCAGCTCTTTGAGCTTCGCAGCCATCATAGGCTTCTCCTTTAAGTGAGTGGGGATATCCTTCCAGCCTACCTGATCCAGTAAACATCTGTGGAACCATGTCCTCAGACAGCCAAAGCAAAGCGAATGGCCACATTCGACCAGCTTGATACAGTGGGATGATTACATAATGTCACACGTGAATGGACAATCCATACAATTCCTGCACATGGGACACTTGACTGCCCTGGCATGGATGGCAGCAAACTGCAACACCAATGCACTCAGTGATTGCATAGGTAGGTAAACTGATTTCACCTTTGCCATATGTTTATGTATCTTCCCTTCTGCAGCCTTCACATCAGCCTCGGCTTTCTGAGCAGCAACTCGTGCGATCCTCAGCAGCTTGTTTCTCCTATGGATGGCCAGGACTTTGGCATTGGGCTGGAGGATCAGAGGTAATACTCACCTCCCAAGAATGTATCACTTCCAGTTCAAAGAACTTCGTCATTTGCTCCACTTTCTGTGACAAATCAGTGAAGAAAACTGATCTGCAATTGTCACCGGTGGAATTCGCAGGAGCTGGTGCTGGCTTGAGTGCTGGCTGGTGTTTACTGTGGGGAATGCTGGGGAGTTTGTGTAGAAGATTGGATAGCAGGCATTGGAGTAGAGGTTTGGGATGCTATTGACAGTAAGTCATGCTCAACGGTGGTGCCATACTTATAGGCTGAGCAAACAGCCTTTCAAGTTTTTCTCAATAGCGGCAACAGCAGAGCTACAGCACAGAGCCTGCTTTCAATTCCTCTGCAAAAATTATTGGGTCTCTGTTTGTGTCACTGTCCCTGACATGCGGCCATTGTGTTGTCATCGCTTGATCATCACTGAACATCTGGTCCTTCCAATATTGGCCTGCTGCCTGTCCTAGTCTCATGATTCACATGTTTTGCTGGTTGTGATATTGCTCAACACAAAGGATCAACAAGTCCTGCGATGCGTGTACCATTTCAACTCTTCACAGATTCATGTAGCACAAAGGATATCGGAGCAACTTGCCTGTAATACACACATCATGTCTTGGGATTTGCTTGTGCTATATGCATACAAAGCTATTTCGACTCTTCACAGAATCACATCTGTGGCGCAAGTCTTTTAGGGTGCATAGTATCGTATTATGTCATGCTACCTCATGTGTGTGAGGGCAGTTTGATTGGATTTCTTACAAAAGGAGCGAGTTCCCTCAAATTGCTGGCAATTTGCTAACATTTCACAAGTATTTTCTGATGCTCTCCACTCTGTACATATGGGATAAAAGCCTGAGAGGCCATACTGATACTGTGAACTGTCTAGCATTCTCACTGCAGGTCGATTACCTTGCAAGCGGTAGTGACGACTGTTCACTGATGGTATGGTGTGTCAGTAGTGGGGAAGTGGCATGCATCGTCCGCACTCCAGTCCTGATACTCTCCATTCTCTGGGATCCATGCCAGTGCTCAACTATTATTTTTGGTTATGATAATGGAGTAGCAGCAGTGTTGAGTGATTTTCAGGTAACAGAACATCCGTTTTCTTTTTCCATTGTGATTGACATACTCGACATCAGGACCCAGACTCCACACAGGCTGTCTTACTGGGAGTGAAGGCTCCAGTTTACTGTCTCGACTTGGACCCTTCATCAGGAAAGCTCGCCATGGGAGTCTGTTTTCTTACTACACTTTTTTAGTTAGTCTTTGTACTGCCCTTGCTTGTGCCGGGGCAGTGTCTGTCTTCGGCTCTCCAATCCCTGCCTTCTCGTTTAACCTTTAGTTAGTTCTTTGCACAGCTATTTAGTTCCTCACCAGTAACCCCAGCCTTCGGGTTGCTGGTCTTTGGTATATATACTCTACGTACGTTGTACTTAGTTCCTCAGTCTGAATATCAAACTAGTTCACCCTCTGTTCCTAGCTTAAGCCCGAGACAACTCTCAGCTTTTGCTCCTGACCCCCCTCGGCTCTCTCTGACTTCAACCTGGCTTGCACAAGGGTCTAGCACACAAGCTAAGACAAAGGGTTGTTGCCCCCAGCACTCGGCCTCTGGCCTTTGACCCCCAACCTAGTCACAAACTTAACACTATGCATCAATCTAGATTCCGATGGCAGGCTCTGGCATGGGCCCGATTTTTTCACTGATGGCTGCAAGGATGTTGGAGCTGATTGCAGCTGTGAATGCAAGTTCAGAGGCACACTGACAGGACATGAAGCAAATGTGCATGGAATTTGATGGATTGATGCAGCTGAATCACCAAGCTCTTAACAGCAGATCGGAATCTGGGGGTGCTCAGGCAAGCTTACAGGGATGAAACAAGTCTGCAGGGTCCAAGCCCACTCGAAGATGCAAGCAGCCCCCCTTGGAAGACAGATATTGTGGAAAACCCTGGTCATACAAAATTCTGGGTATGCCTTTACTCACTACAATTCTGAGTGGCTCACATTCCATCAGCAATTGATACAGAAACACTTCTTGCTGATTACTGCATATTAGCGATTATAGCTGTCTAGACCAATTGCCACTGATGATGAAAATCTTGCATTCAACAGGCATGACCCGGGTTGCATCAAGATAACTCCCAATGACTTCCGCATCGATCTATCAGCACTCCCATCCGAATGCCTTTCAACATGGAGGCTATTCATGTATTTGCCAAGGACTTCAAGAGGAAGGTAGAGGAGAGCAAATGGTATTCTTTTCCAACACCTCCACCTGCTCACTTCCTGCAGTTGGAATACATTGAGCTGTCCCTCTACTTTCACCTGCATTATGTCAAGGATGTGTACACCAACTTGAAAAAGTCAGAGGAGATGTGTCACACCAGGCTGAGGAGCGCCGCTCGTAGTACATGCAAAACAAGGGTACGTCATTGACTGTACCTACACTGCCCTCCCTTATCTTACGTGCCCCAAGCTTTATACAAGCAGGGCAGATTGTGTCGCAAACAATGATGAACTTATCATTCATAATGACCTGATACAGTTAATAGGCTCTCAAGGCATCAGCTTGGATGAGTCGGACACAGACTCAAATGGGCGCAAAGTTTATCTGATAATCCCTCCTGCTTGGCACAGCGAAGAACTGGCCGATCTTATGTGCACCATAGATTCCATGATGGTTTCTAATTGCCAGCCAAGAGTTGAACACATATCTGTTCACAGTCAAGAACCCAGGCACCAAGTACCCAGTAACCTCGTCAATGAGGATGCAGTGGCACCCCCAGGACTGCCACTCAACTGCTACAAGGGAAGTTGGCTGATGTCCTTACTGCCTAATGAGAGAAAGAAACTGAATGCCTGGGTGGATAAGTGGTATAATTTCGAGAGTGGAAAAACAGGTCAGGTCGTCCTCAGCTGACATGTCAGCATTTACTGATCAAGTCCCAGAGGTCATTGTCCCACCACATGCTGGTGCTACCCTGCTGGTGATGCAGACAGACAATGAGAACTGTGATGACACTTCCATCGAACCAGGAAGATAATGATGGCGACACTGAGAGTGGGGTTGAAGACTTTACTACTCAATTAAGCTTAGACGAGGACTGAATACTGTAGAGGGCTCTGCTACTCTAAGGCTTTTTTGGATGTTGCATGATAGATAGAAATTTACAAAGATTGATTGGTGTAATACTATGTTACTGAATTCCTGGACACATCCTGGTCCAAACTGTTTGTCCCCCAAGTTTCTGCCAGAAATGCTGGGCTTTCCATTTTGGGTATGCATGTAGTATCAATTCGGATAGAGTTGTTAGATGTCATTTGGTCAATGAAAGTGAACAGCAAAGCAAGTCCGGACAGGCAGCACCCTGCAGAGGATGTCAGAACAAGGGTCCATTGAGGTCTTTCAGGTCCCAACACCAACCCTTCCGTCTGCCATGCTACTCGACTTGTACAATGTATGCCGTGGGCAGGACACCCCACTCATCGATAACGGCACATCCCAATTACATTTTGGGTTTTCTCTATGTCCTCTGTACTGGTATATCTATGGTATGCTTAATGTGAACAGGAACATGCCTTTGATTGCACATTCATCACATTGGGGATCGACACAGACACTGTTGACCACCCCATGTTAATGACAGAGCAACTTGCATCTCCATTACACTCGAGCCTGTAGGTGCTTTCGCTCATCACTTTTCATTCTTTTTTTTGGTTGACTCAAGCACACTGGCAGTCACATCCGAGCTCAACAATACTCTGTCCCATTACTGGCATTTTGCATCGATGCACTCATGTCATTCTACTACAGGTACCAACGAACTGCTCAAGACTGGGTTTGAAGTGCATGCTCAGTGTGCAGGGAAAGAAAAGGAAAGAGAAGAGTGGGAAGTGGAGGAACGTCGTGACGAGGAAGAATGAGAAAATGATTTGATGGTTGGGCTGGAAGGCTGCGTGAGGAACAAGAGGTATATATATTTGATTCTTTGCATTAACTGCTTGTTGGTGACACTACACTTAGGCGATCATGAGCAGGATTAAGGAGCATGAATGTCACAAAGCTGCCCCTTCAGATAGGAACAGTGTTGTTGCACAGGCACGGATGAAGAACATCGCTTCCCTTCCCGCAGACAATCGAGTATCAAAGATGAACAGGAAGGCAGGTACAGGTGAGTCTCCATCTGGGCAAGCAGAGTTCGCCTGCAAAGACTGACAGGGCATGGAAAGAGGACATGTTTGGTGCTGACAACAAAGATTGGGCAATATATCATAAAATTGTACGTCCCAGATATCTTTACTCCCATACGTTTATTACCCAACTACATAACCAGAATACAGTTGCACCATCCTCTGATGAAGAAGATGATATCCAACAACTGCCACTTGTTGAATCGAAGCTCCTTGCACATGACCCGACCTTTTGCTGCAAGAATCCATTTCAACACCAAACAGTGGTGTGTCTGCAAATTGTACTTTGCTCCATCGGTGGCAGGAGCCAATGCTGATAGAATTGGTGAGGTTTTGCAGACTGTCCCCATGACGTTCACAGACACAGAAAAGGCATGGTTAGTAAAAGTAAGGCCGTCTCCTTCGCAGTTATTTCTTGGGGCTGTTTTACTTGTCGCTGACCACAATGTCAATGCAGAACATATATACTACTGGTGGTCCCTCTCAGTTCTGCGGGCTTCATGAGCCAGTCTACTCAGCACTTCATCCAATCCTTCCACCCGAGATGGAACTCCTCCAGTCAAGACAGCCCAAGATGCTGCAATGGATGCATGGAGGGGAATGGCAACCTTTGCAAACACGGAGGAATTCAAAGATGTAGGGGTTACTCGACGGCAAAACAAGGAGTGGGGCAGCAAGTGGATAAAGAGATGGTGGGGTGGGAACTGGAATGCTGCCCAATGATCCACTTACAAGTGCGTAGGTAGGAAGTACTTTCATCATTGGGGCCCTTTGCCTTCCTGTTACACTGGAATTCGACCCCTTCATGGTAAGTCAAAAATCGATGCACGCTCACAAAACTGACCACCTGTATTGTCCTTAGATAAAGGTGTGAGCAAGCGATGATATTACAGAGGGTGCGTCCAGGGGCACCCGTAGGACTTTGGTATTGTACACTGCCAATTGATGGCAAATCTGCGCTTTCTCACTTATCGATATATCATGCCAAACATTCACCACGACTTCTCGCTGTGTAGATCGCCAGCCTGTGTTCCCCACCGTCCCCATCTGTGGATATGGCTGTCGATGAAAGAAGACTGCTCTTGACTTGATATTGTAAAATATATTATAAAATGTTTGTGAGCCACAGAGTAATGAATTGCCAGCACTCTGGTGCTTGTGTACCTCCAGTAATGCCATGCAGTGCAGCGCAGCAGGCTGGCTCCAGCTCCAGCGGCCAGTGTGTGTCAATGACTCTACTGATGTTTTAAGTTTCATTAAGGCTGGGAGCTGTGCTGGCTCACAACTGAAACATAAAATGTCAGGCACTCATTGACATGCAGCCAACATCCAAAACAAAGGATGAAATGCCACTGAGACTGTGACCTTCACAACACCCTAAGTCATGACATGTTTACTCCTTGACTGATATTGAAATTTCTGTCAGTGTAGCAGCTCAGCTGCAGCATGTCCAACATTAAGTTTTCCCATAGCATATCAACTCACCTGATTTTAAGTATATCATGCAGGCACTGAATGTACTGCTCTCCACATTTGACATTATTTTTCATCACTGTCCTGCTGCATACAATTCACACATGAAATTTAGGTTCTCAGTTGACTAGCAGCAGTGTTTGTACATGTGTGGAATTTAAGATTCTAGTTGGGACATGGACTATCAGTGATGTATACTAGATTTCTAATAACAGTCAAGCTTGTACATCATGGACACCTTACTGATACCTTGGATTTCAGTAGACTTGCAGCACTACACAATGTACTCATGAAATTATAAACTTAGTATGCATGATGGGTGGGATTCAGATCAACCTGCTACCGAATTATGCCTGGGGTGAACATTGCTGTAAGGCTCTGGCATGGCAACTGACTCTTCACCAACAGCAGCATTAGACATGGCTTGGGGAGCTGAAGGTAGTAATGGCATGGGAAGAGCTGGACTAGATGAATGCTGATGCCTGCATAAGTGGTCACCGAGTTGTGCAGACTGAGGCAAGGATGGGCTAGGCAGATAGAAGTGAGAGCCAACACTAGTGTTGAACATATCAGAGTCAAGTGGTGAAAGTGTGGTGGGTATATCTGGGGACAGACTGGACAAGTGGTGGGACATGCACAACTCGTCAATGAGTTATGTGGACTGAGAGTCATGACCTATATCCAAGGATGAACCAGGCAGCTGCACATGGCTGCACAAGTCATTGTTGAGTTGTGCAGATTGATGACAGGTGGACAGACTGGGTGCATATGGATCCCTGCACAACTCATCATCAAGTTGCATGGACTGAGAGTCATGGCTAGCATCATAGGCAGTAGGGGCAACTGAACCACAGTAGGAAGTGTTGAAGATGGAGAACGTAGCTTCAGAGTCTGGAGTGACAGTGTCTCTACAGAACAGCAGTGAAGCCTGGTGGGAACCATCAGTGGGCTCTTCCTGAATGATAACTGGATCTGGGGATGGGGGAGAGGGAGTCTGAGGAGGAGCAGTAATACCATTAGAAAGTACATGTGAAGCAGGCAGACCTGAGCCAGATGGCAGGTCTGGAGGTGGAGATGCATTGCTCTGAGTGGGAGATGCCTGTGGGAGTAGACAAGGATAGAATATGACATAGGCAGAACCTTCAAGCTCATGGTAATGCTCAAGTGGGGCAGGAACCTGTCAGACCAAGCAAGTATCAAGCATAAGGAAGTCTTGGAAGTAGACTCCTGATTCATCAGTATCTCTTTCTCCAGCAAGTGCATGGCTTGAGTCGAGATAAAGGGAGGATAGATGGGGAGTGTGATTAGCAAGGCTAGTAAGAAGTGAGACAAGTGACTGGTGCTCTTCTCTTCTGATCCAGTGACGAATCTGGGCAAGGGTAGGATTATCCTCCAATCCACTCACATCAGTGGACTGTAACTCCTGGGTAAGCTGACTGACAAACTCTGAAGGAAAGGGACTGGTAGGAGGTGGGAATGCTTGGATGGGAATGGGATGGAATGCAGGAAAAGCTGAGGCAACACCAAACCCATCTGGGGGTGATTCAGGATATAGCAGAGTAGAATCGAGTGACTGAGGGGGTGACTGTGAAGTTGATGGGGGTGGAGCAAAGACTGTAGGTGAAACATGATGAGGGGTACCAACTGCTACATCTCTCATAGGTTCATTGGCTTCTTGCTGAGGATGGACAGGCTCTAGAGTCGCCATAAGTGTATCTGCAACAGACCCAAGCTGGCCTTCAGTAACACACATCTCCAGGGGGCGATCTGAATCAGCTCTGAAGACAACATAAGTTCCAGACTCTCTTTCAACAATGCTAACTGAGTTCCCAAGAGCCCAAGGACGACCAAGGAGGAGATCAAAGCCTGCATTAGTGTCTGGAGCAACAAACAGATTGGTCCAAGTCTTGGCAGCACCACAGAAGAGAGGGACATCTTGTACCAGGCCTTTCAGTGTTGAGACACCTCCTTTTGCATCTCACATATTGATAGTCTGTGACATGTCAATGGGCATGCAAATGACTGACTGGGCTATACCAGCATGAACAACATTGAGAGTAGACCCAGAGTCGATGACACCTGTTACACATCGACCATTGCAAGTCAGATTGATAGTGATGAGGGTGCTAGAAGTCAAGGCCAAGTAGGAGGCTACAGGAGGAGTTCCTTCAACAGTGGTAACAGATTTGACAGGATGAGCCAGGGGCTGTCTCTTGAATCACATAAGCTCCTGAAGGTGCTGAGAAACATCCCTAGATGATCCAATGACCTCCCCAACAGATACAGTCAAGGGAGTAGAAAGAATGCACTCTACAATGGCTTTGGAATTGGCAGACTGTGAAAGTGATGAAGACAGGGAAGTGGTAGGAGTGGGCTTGGA